CATGGAGAAATACAGGGTGGTAAACAGCGTCTTGCCTCAGAAACTGATGTATTTTAGACGTATACAACTTCGCAATGAATTAAAAAGAACGGTAATGGAGACACACAATACACATTGAGCAGAAACCTGTGAGGGACCAGGTTTCTTCAGGGCAGGCTGTAATGGGTGTGACGTTCTATAAAAGGTCTACCACCTGATGACGATGGTGTGCATTAGGTCGTCAGTGTTTGATTATATCAAGGTTTTAAAACTTAAGTTGAACTTCCTGTTTAGACATAGGCTGCCCTGAAACCATGGAAACAGATGGTAAAGTTAGGCATGAGAGCCGCCGACATGGAGCTATTTGTCATAGTCTCAAGCTCTCCTAGTGTAGACAGAGGTTCAAACTATAGTGACAATGGATACGGACACTAGACCGGTAAGGTAACTGTTAAGAGGACAAATATTAGCAAACCGCTTTCTCTAAGATGCCCAGGCTACTCACGATTTTACAACTTGTGAATCTTCAGCAAGGTTAAAGACGCAGACTCGCAGGGGAAATGTTGTTTTTGAGAAAAATACATAGAATGTCATGAAATGAAGCAAACAAATAAAACAAACGATTCTGTTCTCCTACGAACAAAGACTTAACACTTAAGGTGCTTTTGGCGCCTCACCAACAGTGTTAGTCAGCAAAGGAGCACTGGACGACTGCTTCTTTAGAGGACTGACCACTTAAAGGATCGCAAACTTTGTACAGTAGCGTCAGTTGTGATATAAAAGCATAGCAGGTAATATATACATACTGTACAGATAAACAAACAACCCGCTGTGAACATGTAAAACAGTGTATTTCAACAGATCTCCACTCAATTAGCCAATCATCACAAAATATACAACATAGTAAAATGTACAGTCAGAAAAATGTTTTCCATGAAATTCAAATAATGGTACAATCTTAGCTGAATATGAAGTATACAATGTATTCTAGTTGATTCAGTAGATATAAATTTTTCCGTTGGCATGAATTCTCTAGGTTTCCTAGTATATTGACATACCCAAAGTATGTTGATTAGTCACTTTTTGTTACTTTTCTGTATCGACATCCTAGCATATTTGTCCGACTCAGTCGTGCTGTGTCCCATGAACTAGCAGCCATCTTAGTGTCTCTCTGGTCAACGCACCCATTCGGTATATCTTATTTCTTTGTCCCGTAACCAGTTTCTGCATGTTTATCCTGGTTTATTATCCATTTCCAACATCGGTTCATCATCTTTGGCTCCTTTGTCTCAACGTCTTTGGCACACAGCGCATTCAGTATGTCAACCCTGTCCATACTTCTTCCCCTTTTAACTAATACAGACCCGGCCAGTCTGTCGACTCTTTTATTTCATTTGACCCGAGCGTGTCTTGATGTTTACAGTTAAGATAATGTCTTAGAGACCGGACTTCAGTGTGCTGTCAATCCAATTTAGTCAAAGTTTGCCAGTTTGGTTCTTCATAAGTATGATCATTGAGTCTGTCAATATGCAACTGCCCAGCTGCTACCTCCATTGTCACTTTAAAAGTAGTTGAACTGAATGCCTAAATTTCTTCTTTTATTGTCTTCGCATTTACCCGCGACAGGTATGCCCACCCAGACCGCATCCCCACGCCCAGTGAGCTGTCTGTGTAAACGATGACGTCATCTGGTCGAGTGTGCTCTTAGTACTAGTTCTTTTACCCCACCAGGGACATCACACAAGCGATAAACACCCGATGACACAAAGTACAACCATGTGGATGAGGATCACCCGTGGAGAGGTCCAAGAAACCGCGTTCAGCCATTAGATCACATTCAAGGCCTGGTTATATTGCGGCCCCTGGCAAGAGCCAGGGTGGGGCTTCAAAATAACGAAAAATTGCATCCCACAAGGGGATGACGTTTCTTTCATGAAAATTATATAGAGTGTACTCTTGGATAATGGCTCATCTGTCAACATGGATTGTTCTCTACTAAAGACAGTTGTCTCTCTGAGCAAATGTGGATACCCAATTGTAGTTGTGAGGTTTTTTTTTTTTGTTTTTTTGTGTGTGGATATTTTCAATAGAGCTTTTATCTGAACGTTGAATGTTCAATGTTGAATTAAAAATGGACATCACAACACTAGGGACACATCCCATAAGCGCATCTTTTATCACAAATAGTGTTATTGCCATTCTTGGAAAAAAAAGTTCTGCAGCTTTCAAATTTACGAACGATTGTCCATGATTAACTTCCATCTATCAAAATTGCCTCTACATATCTCTGAAGACTCTTGTTTACACCTGAATTGACAACAAGTGGATTGAATAGGATACTCTTTATATTCTGCATAATTCTTATAATGCCTAATTGACCATGTTCTTAGTGCACTTGTATTCATGCGAGGCGCAGATGCCGTCTGGAGGTGACAGGTTCAATTCCCGGCACGGTAACTATAGCTTTCGATTTTTATGTTGTCTAGTGTGTTCTTCTATCTTTCTACTTCTTTCTATGAGTGCCGATCAATACACTTTCTGTTACTTGATTAATTCATAATGTTTAACGGCCTCAAAGGTTCCCCCTGTGTTTATTTATAGGAATAACATGTATCTCGTAAGGGAGGGGGGGGGGCCATTAGGGCTGTTTCCTTCAAAGTCGGAGTGCATCTGCTTGAGAGGCAAGGAACCAACAGCCTGTAAATACATATACGCTAAATCTCTAAAATGGATGTTACGTAAAAAAGTATGGATTAGGGCTAAAGTCCAGGGGTGGACGAACAACGAGAACTTTTAACAGTGGAATTTACAGCTTGTGAACGCTAAAAATGTTGAATGTTGTGATGTTGATTCTCACTCAGAACATTCCCATAAGCGTTCCTTTCATATCCTCAGCAGCAAACAAAGAGTTCAAATTACGATGGCATCAGTTACTGTCTGATTGTACATCCGTCTCACCCTTTCCTTGAGTGTTAAGCGTCGACAAAATCGCTGTTAACATACCGCAGGGCCATTCTTCTCAGACCATAATCTATTTGTGCCTCAGTGCTGTTCACTCGCTCCCAAGCGGCCCTCTAAGAAAAAAGAAGGCACTATAATACAAGCCCTATTGGTGCATAAACGCTACTAGGTGATTGGTGAATATTAACACGTGTTTCTGTGACGAAGTCTAGTCCAAGTGTGAAGTTATTCCAGCAGTGAGATCTTTTATTCTTCACTTCCTCACTTACCACTTTGGGTGTCGAGGAAGATAGATTTAGGCTTCTCCTTCCTGCTTTTCTGGCTGCCTCGAGAGACCTATCTTGCTGCTTTGTAGAATTTCTCTGACGTTATATTTCCATCTTGTCCTTGGACTACCTTGCGCTCTACGTCCTCTTCTTTTATTGTACATCTTGTGTGGTATGGCCTCACAATGCATTCTCCCTAAGTGGACAAACCATTTAATTTGCTGTTTGCCTATGCAGTTTATACTTATCGTAAGGATAATGTTGTCAAAATTTAGGAGCGATTTAATTACAGGTTTTCGAATTAGGCTAAACTAATACTGAACCTCCACGAACGTACGTATACATATTCATTTTTAACGTTTATGAACCTAATATGTTCTTACGTACATATACATAACCTTTACTAACTCACATATACCTAACGTTTACTCACGTACATATACATATTCTTTACTAACATTTATATATCTAACCTTTACTCACGTACATATACATATTCTTTACAAACATTTATATACCTAACCTTTACTCACGTACATATACATATTCTTTACTAACATTTATATACCTAACCTTTACTCACGTACATATACATATTCTTTACTAACATGTATATACCTAACGTTTACTCACGTACATATACATATTCTTTACTAACATGTATATACCTAACTCTTACTCACGTACATATACATATTCTTGACTAACATTTATATACCTAACCTTTACTCACGTATGTATACATATTTTTTTACTAACATTTATATACCTAACCTTTACTCACGTACATATACTTAACTTTTACTAACATTCATATACGTAGCCTTTACACATGGAATATACACAACCTTTACTGACGTACAATATTCCTGACCTTTACTAAAATGCATATATCTAACCTTTACTAAGATACAATATACCTAACATGTATCATCATACACACAAGTAACATTTCCTAACGTATTTACATTTAACGTTCGCTAATGTACACATACCTAACATTTAATATCGTACACATACGTAACCTTTACTGACGTACCTATATCTAACCTTTACTGACGTACCTATATCTAACCTTTACTGACGTACCTATACGTAACCTTTACTGACGTACCTATATGTAACCTTTACTAACGAACTTGTACATAACTTTCACTAATGTGCAATTACCATACCTAAAGTAAAAAATATCTAACCTTTACTAACGTGTCTGTAACACAACCTTCACTAACGTACATAAAGCTAACCTTTACTTACGTACATATACCTAACTTTCCTTTAAGTACACATACCTAACCTTCACTAACGTACATATAGCTAACCTTTACTAACGTGTATGTACACAACTTTTTACTAACCTACATATAGCTAACCTTCACTAACGTACATATACTTAACCTCACTAACGTATACATACCTAACCTTTACTAATGTACATGTACTTAACATTTACTAACTTACATATAGGCAACCTTCACTAACATACATATACAGAACCTATTATAATCTACTCATAGCTGAATTTTTAATTTTGAATTGAGAATCGACATCATAGCACTTGCGACACTCCCATAAGCGCTCCGTCCCCATCTTCAGCATCAAACAAAGAGTTGTATACATAAAACTAACTGTTACTAACGTAAGTATACCTACCATCTACTAACGTACATATACATTTACTAAAGTACATATATTTTACATTTACAAACTTACAAATACGTAGCCTTTACCATCGTGAATATATTTAACATTCACTAATTCAGACAAACTTACTTGCTCAAACTTCCAAAATGTCTACTTCTTCTTCCTCTTCTTTGCTTTCTTTTGCTTCTTTGGCTTTTTCTTCTTCTTTGCTTTAGATTGTTTCTTTTTGGCCTTTTTACTTTTCTTTTCTGCTTTCTTCTTTGCTTTATTCGCTTTCTTTTTGGCATCCTTGTCTTTTTTACTCTTTTTCTTTTTGTCTTTCTCCTTTTTCTTCTTTCCCTTTTTCTCCTTATCTTTCTTCTTCTTGTCCTGTTTCTTATCCTTTTTGTCATCTTTCTTTTTCTTCTTTTTGTCTTCTTTTGATTTTTTCTTTGCTGATTTCTTTTTCTTCTTTTCATCCTTCTTGTCCTTATCGCCTTTCTTTTTCTTTTTGTCTTTCTTGTCATCTTTGTCCTTGTCGCCTTTCTTTTTCTTTTTGTCTTTCTTTTCTTTATCCTTGTCTCCTTTCTTTTTCTTTTTGTCTTTCTTTTCATCTTTGTCCTTATCTCCTTTCTTTTTCTTCTTATCTTTCTTTTCATCTTTGTCCTTATCTCCTTTCTTTTTCTTCTTTTCTTCTTTCTTTTCATCCTTTTCTTTCTTTTTATCTTCTTTCGATTTCTTCTTGTCGTCTTTATCCTTCTCTTTGTCTTCTTTCTTTTTCTTCTTTTTCTCTTCCTTTTCCTCAGCTTTCTTCTTTTTCTTGTCCTCTTTCTCCTGTTTTTTGTCCTCCTTGCTCTTTTTGCTATCACCACCTCTGTCGCCGTCATCGTCACGTGACCCTCCCGACCCTTCGTCCCTCCCGGAGACGCTTTCACCGCTGACATCCCCACCACCACCGAAATCGCCGCCACTGTCAACGCTGGCTGCTTCCATGCGGTCATCATCACCATCATCATCTTTGTCGTCGTCGCCGCGGCTCCTGGTAGTTCGTTCTGTTGCGTCACTTTCAGAATCGTCATCATCATCGTCGTCACTTTTGCCTCCGCCACCGCCGCCGCCTTCTGAAACAAGAGATAATTGATTTGTCTTCAAATAGCAAAAGAAAGCATATTTCATTTTTAATCTACTTCCTTAAGTAGAATTTTGATAGTTGCACTGCATAAGGAACATTTTGTGCAAGAGGTCCCACTCTTTGGATTTCTCTTAGGTTATGTAGAACCTAATCTGTTTTATGGTATTAAATCATGGAATGTAAATGCAAACATGATAAAAAAGTTGGAAACGACGGAGAAGCGTTTTCTCAGACTAAAGTTAAGAATTCCTTGGACGGCTAGAAAAACTAATAAGGATTGCTTGAAAGAAGCTAATGAAAGCAGATCAATACATACAGTTATAATGAAAAGACAAATACTGTTCTTTAATAATGTGATGCGGCGGGAGGCTATGGATAATGTTGTTACGACTGGGAAGATCAACGATAGAAGAGGGAGAGGCAGACCAAGAGACATAATGCGGAATAGATCGAAACTGTGGCACAGAGGGATATCATAGGTTGAACAAGGGACAGAAATATGTAGTTATGCATGGACGCCTACACCAGTTGACAGGGAACGTGATGATGATGAATTTCAATACGTAAGAAAAGCACAGAAAGAAAGTATGATACACATAAGGCATCAACAGTTATTACTAGCTGGAACAAAATATGCAACTCTAAATTGTTAGTTTTTAAACCAAATGACGTTTTTTCAAATCTGTTGTTATTTCCTTCTAGCCTATGCAAGTATATTTTGAAGTGTTTTGAGGCTTTCTGGTGCACTTCTAAACAGTAGAGTATTCCTAATATTAAATAGCTGAAAGCCGTATCAAGTCCACATACGATACTACACGACAGGTATTCGTAACAACAAAGAAGAAAAGTACAGGTGTATTAATTTAAAACTGTCACAATCCTTGTGAAGGTAAAAGTCGAGTGGATACCAGACTTACATAAAAAGACAAAATATATAAACTCCCAGATACACCAGCCAGCACAAGCCACTTGAATGAACTACATGATGCCACACAAACGAGCTCAGGTTATGAGCAAGTCGAAGTCAATCGTCGACAAGCACCGAGAGGAGTATAGCCATATTAGTAGTGGTAGTGATATAATGATAGTTTTACAGTCCAAATACTAGGTGAGTAGAAGCTTTGCTCAACAACAACAACAACAACAAAGACAGCTCAGCTGAGCAACAACAACAACAAATCGCCACCTTCAGCCAGCATACCCGAAGAGGGAGCGTAAGGTTATAACTGTGACTAGGTTGGAGCCGCGTTAGCACAGTCGATGGGAGACTCTCTTTCAAATCCAGCTGCGACTCGCTGCAGCCCACGGTCGTTGTTCGAAACCGGGCAGTTCCCGGGGTTTACCCAGCCTCTAGGCAATGGGTACCAGAGTTAACGTTCTGGGATAAATTGAGTAACGTCGCTGTAGCTATAGAGTTGCGTGCGAACGGCGACACAGGCGGACAGTTTCTTATCAGCTGTTCGTATTGGTGGCGGAGCACTTATGGTTTATAACCGTGTGCAAATGGCGCTGGTTCACTTTTTATCTCCTGACTTTAGGTTATGTTTGCAAGATAAAATTGCTTAGCACTGCACGCCACAATTAATCGATTTAAATCCCCATATGGGAGGACATTTGCTTTAGTTTGAAGCCGAACCCTGGTTGTTGCCGGAGACCCTTACATAACCTAACGGTTAAACGGGGTTTTTAGCAACTTTCCACCGGTGATCCTCATCCGAATGGTGGCACTTTGTGTCATCGAGTATATATCGCTTAGTGTAATGTCCTGGTGGGGTAAAAATACAGCCAGTCAGTCAGTCATGAAAGTTCTCCTACAGTGTTGATGACAGAAACACATACTATTTAGAACCGACGACGACGCCGTTCACCGTTGAGCCAGTGAGCGACCTGTTACAACGGATATAGAGCCAACGGAAGAACTCAGAAAATTATATACTACTCTCTAGTTTCGTCCTTTTTAGGAAGACATTTTTTGTTATTTGAAACCCCACCCTGGCTTTTGCCGGGGGCCGCAATAAAGGCAGGCCTTAAATATGGCCAATTGTCTGAACGCGGTTTCTGGGACCTCTCCACGGCGATCCTCATCCGCATGGTGGCACTTTGTTTCATCGGGTGTTTATCGCTTGTGTGATGTCCTGGTGGGATATAAAGTCAGTTAGTCAGTCACTCAGAAAATAGGATGGCATTAAGAACAGCCTTACAGAAATGAATCACTTTCCTAACAGTGCTCTTGACAGAGCTCATTAACGAATGTTACGTCTCCCCCTTTGCTAAGGTGCAAGGTTGAAGAGAAGAGGAAAACAAAGAAGATGACGATTCCCCACTGACTTTGTCTGACATACCCGAGTCCTCGTCCTCCTTCTTGTCATCGACTTTTCTGTTGAGATAACGCCGATTATCGGCACCTCCTCCCATCCCTTTGATGCAGTAGGCCGCCGATGAACCTCCCGGATCATTCATCTCGTCAGCTTCGAAGATTGATGTCTGCAGCAGTCGCATCACTGCCACGTCCACGGCCTGACGAGTGAAGAGGGGAGGCAAGTCAAGTGGGCGTGTTGTGTCAGGACAGATAATTATAGAATCTTAGGTATGAAATATGCGGCGTCGGTGGCTTAGGCGTTGCGAGTCCGACTCGTAATTCCAACGTACCGCGATCGAAACCCACTGCTGGCTACAAGCATTTTTATCATGGTATGGGGCGTCGCAGGTCGACTCAGCCTAAAATGGGTACCCAGATGGCTGTCCTGGGAAAGTAAAGACGGTCGGCCTAATGCCAACCATATACTCAACTAGTGCCGATGGTCTGTAAAAAAATATAGGTGTTTACTTTTTCATCATCATTATCATAAACCACTTCTGTGGTTAAGCAACGTATGGAGGAATAATTTGCGATCCAGTGCACGTTGGCTGCCACTGGCTATTGTCATGCCGTGAAGGCGTACAGCGTCTGTAATGTTGTCGATCAATGTTTTTTCCGCGGCCGTCCTCTTGCTCCTGTAGCTGATCTTCTGAGATATAGTGCTTTTGATGGCATTTGATCTTGCGGCATTCTAACAAGATGGCCAAACCACTTAATCTGTTGTTACTCGATGAATCTAGTTCAAGGTGTCGTTCCCACTCTTTGCTTTTTACTTTACCTAATTATGAAATATCTTCACTTGCTCTTGGCGTTCACCGACTTTAAACTCCGGTGGAAAGTTCTGGTTATTTGTCCACTTCTGGACTTTAATTAATTTCGTTTCCGAACCTGATCTGGCTTATTTGTATGCCGACTGTTGGCTGCTGATTCTCACGCAGATACACTCCGACCTTGAGGCAAACATACATTAATTAGTCGACTTTAACGATATGTGTGTCAGGGGGCAGTGCGTCACCACCCCCACGCCTCTGCCCTTCCCTCCCCATTTTCCCACCACCCCTTAGACAGTGGGACCTCAAAACTCACACGGGAATAGTGTTGTATTACAAACACTCTTACAACATTATCTATCATCATCATCATCAATCAGTGTCTTCTTTTGTCTTTTTCTTCTTCTTCTTTTTCTTCTTTAATTATCATTTCCCACCCCACCCCTTTTATCTACAACCTCATCCCGTTATTTTCTTCTTACAAAATCTCCTCATCTCCCTTCTCTTGCCTCCTCCTTCTCCGTATTCTTATTGATCTGCATGCTTTTTACAAGACCAGAACCACCTGGCGCAAGCCGACTGCCAGTAGATACCCAAGCGGTAGATGAAATGCAGAAAGAGAATAATAATAAGAAGAAGGACGAGAGGGTGAAAATGAGTATGATGATGGAGATGATGATGATGTGAAGTAAGATTCAGCTAGAAGTGTCCGATTCATAGTGAAATATATCGGTCTATATTTTCCCCTGAGTCTCTCATCTGCATGACTCTATAACTTCTGACTCTTCGACTCTCTCTCTCTCACTCTCTTTCTCTCTTTCTCTCGGTGTGCTGCGTGTGTGTGTGTTTGTGTGTGTGTGTGTGTGTGAGAGAGAGAGAGAGAGAGAGAGAGAGAGAGAGAGAGAGAGAGAGAGAGAGAGAGAGATTCAATAAGGCTAAATTTATTCACAAAATACTATCCCAAAAGGCTCCAAGCTACTTATGTAAAAGTAAGAAAAGCTCCGTTTTACACGCCTTTAGACGTACAGGGCTGGACCAATATTTTTGTAGACCAACCAGCACAAGATGGGTGATGTTGTCAGGTTTACGCCGGCCGCCATTACTTCCCGGTACTTTACACAGTACCCACTAATGGCTGGGTCGACCTGGATGTGAAGGTCATTTTTGAAAAATGTCTGGCTTCGCCAGGAAGTGAACCCACGACCTTCCGAATTGCACGCGAGCGTCTAGCTGCTACGCCACGGCGACTACCCTTGTCGCCGTGGTCGTTTTTAAATATACATATACCTAAACCTAGGATAGATCTATATTAAACAAATCTAGTGTACTCAGCAGCTCAGTTGTCGAAACTTTTTCTACAACACATAAAAATACAACTTGCCCCTATACATATAGTCGGACAATTTTCGAATATTATCTGAGCACAGATTAAATGCTTCCCATCAGAGTTTTTAAAATAAACATATTTTAGAAAAAAAAAAAACTTGTTTTCCCTTTCCTACAATTATTACACATACTAGGGTTTACTGCAGCTAAAAATACACTATTGATTTTCACTATAACCTGATGTATGAATAAAATGATGTATGAAAGAATTGAGACTAGAAGGGCAGAATGTTAGACGGGCCTGTGTGCCCAATTCTTATCCCTATGAAAATAAAGTTTGTTCGTTAGTTCGTTCATTCGTTCGTTTTTCTCTCTCGCTCCTCTGCTTTCTTTCAGTAAACACTCTGATATGCTAAATGCACTGCTGGAGATATGACATTTGCGAGAACCAAGCAGTGACTGAATCTGCAACGATGACCAAGTTGCTGTAACATCGTGTTTAAAGGGGTATGGCCCGACAACAGCACCACGCAGGAAGCCAAAGAAGAATAAGAAACCATCACATAATTGGTGTCGTCAGCTGATACATGCTGCGGGATTGTTGTGGAATGATAAGCCATATCGCATCAGTCCGTAAGACTGGTAACCTAACTTACCTGTAATCGGCACAAAATTCAAACTTGGACTCGCCCGGACAGATATAGTCCCTTATATCTATATATATAGGCCTTTATTGGACAACATTATTATGTCTACATTTTCTGGTTGCTTTGACTTAACTCCATTTTTAAATGTATATCTATTGGATAAATATTAGGGGAGTTTTTTGAGGTTTCTTTGAAACCGATTTACTCCTTGCCCATGTATACTGGGAACTCCTTTTTTACCAACGCTTGAAGTGCTTAATTTGCGCCATTCTCTCTTGCCGGCTCCAAGCGTCCAGACGTATCAATCTATGCCTGTATAATTTCAATTTCATAAGGCAATCTGGAATGTCTCAGACTTTTCATATGCTTGGGTAAGTTAATTATAGTTTACGAGTACCTAAAATGATGTCTGTTAAAGTAGTCACTGCTGTAGAGAGATCAGTAGCGGCTGTGGGAATCACACATAGTTCGACCGTTCTTGATCGCTAGAGAAGCGGATTCGAACGTAGACCCTCCCCTGTACAGACTAAATAGCCTATGCCTTAAATAACCCACTCATACTGGTAAACTTAAAACCTTACAAGTGTGTACTATTTAAACTGGCAACAGAAGTTTGTGCATACAAAATGGGGACAGAATTAGGTCAAGACTTTGTCGACCAGTGTATGAGTGTGTTTGACCCAGATCAATGAATGGTAAGACGGGCTTTTGGGGAGTGTAAGGAATAAATGTACTGACGGTGGATATTGGTGTCTGTGTGCAGAGGGGAGGGGAGAGAGAGAGTGATATATGTGTTAGAACACTCTATCTATCTCCACTGTATATCTGACTTGCCTTCTCTTGCACTAAACAGACAGATGAATATAAGAGACTTGTGTCTCTTGGTCTGGAGAGGCATTCTGAGGAATGAAACAGGAGAGCAGGGTGGAGTAAGCAGATGGGGTATGATGACTGATGCTTGTCCTGTCTTTCCTGTCAAGATGTTACCCTCTTGGTGATGACTAATTCTGAGTTATTTCTTGACAGGATGTATCCTGTGTCAGGAGCTGGCAGAAGTTTCACAGTCCAACCAACACCCACCAACCATCAACCAACCATCAACCAAACATAAACCAACTATAAACCAACCATAAACTAACTGTCACCCACCAGCTAACACCTGTAAAGGTTCCTGACATGATCAATATGCTGGAGCTTACAACCCAAACAGACTACCAGTGCTAGAGCTTAGTATAGCTCAAAGACCTTGTATGTCCTAACTGGTGATAGAGACTTGCTAAGTACCAGTACAGTGCTGTGTCCTCTATGGTGAGGTACTCTCTTACTACTTGATCCAGTGGAGCAGAATTCCCAGAGTCAAAGACAGTCGAATCATCCGGAGCTGAGGGAGGCATCATAGACAGAAAGAGGAGAAGCTAAGTTTGATGCTTCATGTGCTCTGTACCTCACAGCTCCTATGTTTCCCTATGATGACAACATGTCATTTCCAGGACCTACTGTCTGTGTAGTATCTTTGGTATCTAGACATTATTTTCTGAGATACTTCCACTGATAGCTGGGATTCACTCAAGATTTAATGTATATATATATTACTGATTACATGCATTCATTTTCATGGCTGACTTAGGTTTCTCTATTTCACCTTTTTAAGTGTTTAGCAGTTGTGTGTGTATGTATCTTCATTATATGTGTTAACATGGTTATGATAATGACTTATCATAACCTGGGGGCTTTCTTTAGTAAGTAGTGGGGGTGTCCAGCCAAGTGTGCCTAGAAATATTGTATTCACATACTGACATATTTTGTAGTGCCAATACTTGAGTTGCCCTACTCCAGAGATAAGTTATTCGTATATTGGCCACAGGGAATCCCTTAGACCAATACGAGCCAAACGACTCAACATAATTATCTCTGAGTGCTGTTGGTTCGGAAGGAGAAATCCTTACATTAGGCACGCGACAGGAGTGATATGTGACAGGGATTTACTGAGGGGATCTAAGCTCTTTTGGACTGAATAGTTCGATCTGCAATGAGGTTAATCTAAACCAACTAACCGACCAGCCAGCCAACCAACCAACCAACCAACTAACCAACCAACCAAAAAAAACGACCAGCTAGCCAACCAACCAACCAACCAACTAACCAACCAACCAAAAAACGACCAGCCAGCCAACCAACCAACAAACCATTTAACCAGCCAAACTAATTAACCAACCAACCAACCAACCAACCAACCAACCAACTGCTTAACTAACTAACCAAGTAATTAAATAACTAACTTCTCTCTGTAGAGCTCTCTCTCTTCGTCTCTTATTCAATCTATAGATTCTCTCTCTCCCTCTCTCTGTTTTAATGAAAGAGATAAATAATTTTGTAGCAGGACAGTACCAGCCTGCACTTACTTGAAAAACAAGAACCCATACAAGCATCAAGGCTGTTGGCGTCAGCAGCCCACTGCTGAAGTAGGTCATCATGACATCCACACAGCCAGTAGCGTAAAGAGTGTGACCCTCATAGTTCCTATGGGCCATAGAACTCTGCACGGAGTGATGCACACATGCACGCTTGGCGTACTTGTTGCAGCAGCTAAACGGAACGTCATCCTTGATGAATTCGCCGTCTTTCAGATATCTGAGAATGAATGAGGTCGTCAATTTAGGTGATTAGTTAGTTAGTCCTCCTGAGATTAGGGCGACGAATAGAGCATAGGTCATAGCTCTCCATGTCTCGTGGTTCGTTGCCACCTGTTTTAGGTAATGGATACATTTAAAGCTAGCAATCTGATTCTAAAACAAAGGATGTTTTACAATGGCGGCTTGTCGTGTCGTCGATCAACAGTCTCAAGAGGCGTGAGAGGAAAACATACCCGCCAGTTAGGCCCAAACAGCTGACTGTCTAATAGATATGAGCGATGCATTTGGCCCCACTGTAGTATTGGTAGATAAAGTATATAGAAGATCCTGGCCTCAGGACGACGGAGACAGTGTGCAAGCGATGCAATGGCTATGAATTCATACAGGTCTGGAGATGTGACTAAAGAGAGAGAGAGAGAGAGAGAGAGAGAGAGAGAGAGAGAGAGAGAGAGAGAGAGAGAGAGTGACTTTCATACGTGCCGTAAAGAGAGCTGCATTCTGTATAGCACCTGCTGACTGCTAATGTAAAGTATTGTTGGCTTCTGTGGCTTCGGTGTTGTGAATGGGCTTCCTAGTTGTGAAATAAACATCTCATACAATACACTAACAAGAACACCTAACACTTTGAAATACATCATCTTTAACAGCAACAACTTTATTATTAGTACCATCGAGAACAACGACATTGTTAATATCATCAATAATAACAGTAACAACCCCATCGAAAACAACAAGGACGCCATTGAAACCATCAAAAAGAGACATGGTTACATTAGAGAGAAAGTTAAAAAAAGTTTGGCCATCTAGTGAGAATGCAGCCAAACAAAACTGAATATAAGATATTTACAGCAGAACATCTGGGAGGAAGGTGAGGGGATGACTAAGCAATAGAAAGATAAAGGGTGTACATGAAACCCGAAAAAAGGTAAACAAATCCATCACTCAGTCCACACATAAAGCACAAGACGAATACAGAAAACCACAAAACTTCAAAAGCAGAAGAAGAAGATTAACACCACTGACAAATATGAACACTCGACACCACAGCCAAACAGTAGCAACATTATGATCAACACCTACAGTGGCAATATCAACTACAAGCTCAACGGCATCATCATCACCACTACCAACGACAACAACAACGACGACGAGAAGAGCAATAACAACAACATCAGCAACAACATTATTAGCACCAACAAAACAATAATAATAATAAGGGCAACAACATCAGCAACAATAACAGTATTAAAACATCTACTAAAATTATAACATTATTACTACTACCAAGAACAACCACAACGTTATTAGTACTAGCAACAACAACAATAAAAACAACAATTATAATACCGTCAAGAACCTCAAAACAACATCAGAAATAACAACGTTAACAATACAACTAAGTAGAAGAAGGAACAGCAACAACAATTTTAATAATTCCGCCAAGAAAAGAAGTATTATTAAAACCACTAGCAATAACAACAATAACATTATAAATACCACCAACAGCAATATTATTAATAGCTCTAAGACAACAATAATATCTGCAAGAACATTATAAGCACCATCAAAAACAACAACAAAAAGAAATCCAAAGAGGAATCATGGAAAAAGTATGGTGAACACCTAACACAGCTATGTACAGAATCATCAAGAGACTTCTATAAGAGTGTGAAAGCGATGCGATTAAGAGAAGAAAGCTTCAATCCAACATCAGTCATAAACGATAAAAATGGAAAACCATTATTCAGCCAAAAAGAAATTAAAAAAAGATGGGAGGAATATTTTAAAGAACTTTTGAACCCGTCGGGAGTACATGAAACAGCAGAATTCCATTCAAGGGCTCCAGATCATCTAGAACCACATATCCTGCGGGATGAAGTAGAGAAAGTTATCAAAACAAGTAAAAGACACAAAGCAGCTGGTATCGACGGAATAACAAACAGAAGTCATCCAGGCTGGAGGGGACACTATGATCACCTGGCTGGAGAGAATTTTCAATAGAGCATGGGCAGAGAGAAAGGTACCGAGTGGATTGGCAAAGATCAGTTGTAGTACCTATCTGGAAGAAAAAAGGAAACAAGAGAGAATGTGGAACTTATAGAGGAATATCTTTACTAAGTCATGTGGGGAAAATGTATGCAAAGATCTTAGAAGGTAGGACAAGAGCAAAGGTTGAACCTCTACTGAGTAAAGCACAATTCGGTTTCAGGAAAGGGCGAGGTTGCACTGATGCCATATTTGCACTAAGACAAGTCTGTGAAAAAGACACTCGAATACGATAAAGAGCTGAACGTGGTCTTTGTAGATCAAGAGAAGGCATTCGACCGTGTAGACAGAGATGTGCTGTGGAGAATTCTTGACGATTACGGAGTGCAGGGTCAATTATTAGACAACATCAGAGCCCTCTATGAAAAAAGTGAAAGTGCAGTAAGAACATCTAGTGGTCTTTCTGAATGGTTCAAAGTCACACTGGTGTCAGACAAGGATGTGTACTGTCACCATTACTTTTCATAACATACATGGATAAGATCACTGTAGAAGCAAACCCAGACGTGTATGCTATAAACGAATTACTTTTTGCTGATGATCAAAGCATACTGTATCAAAATGAATATGATCTACAGGAACATCTGATTACTCTCAACAACAGCTGTTTACAACATAATATGAGAATCAGTACAGAAAAAACAGAAGTTATGAAGATCAGCAGAACACACAGGCCACTGAATATAAATGTTGGAAGTGCCAAAATCAAGCAAACCAAAGAGTTCAAATACTTGGGCAGTATATTTACAGAGGATGGAAGAATGGACAGAGAGATAGAAACAAGAATACAGAAAGCAAAATGCTGTCACATACCAACTATCACCTCTGCTTAAACATCCAGATATAACCATGAAGACCAAAAGACAATTGATAAACACCATCTTCATTCCAACACTCTGCTACCAGTGCCAGACATGGACAATCAACAAGACCCATGAAAGAAAAATAGAAGCCTGTGAAATGAAATGTCTAAGAAAGCAGCGAATAAGACAAGACTAGACAGGATAAAGAATATAGACATTAGAAACACTGTCAAAACTACACCATGTTTAGACTACATAGAACATCAAAGAATGAAATGGTTTGGACATCTAACCAGGATGAAAAATGATCAAATAACATCACAAATTTTCAATCAAAGAAGCTCAGGATATAAGGCAAGAGGAAGACCAAGGAAACGGTGGATTGACGGGGTCTCCGAAACCTGCCAAAAGCATGGCCTCAGAACATCAGATGCTGCCCGCCTTGCTTATGACAGGAACTTGCATCTCCCCACAACGCTTAGCGGCATACGTGGAAGGAAAAAGTAAGTAAAGTAAGTAAAAACAACAACAGCAACAACATCATTCATTCATTCAGTAGCATGTCCCTCGCGGAACCTCGCTGCCATAACAACCCTCCGGAAAACCTTCTTATCATGAGCAAGATGTCCTGCGTCTGATACACCCATCTGGAGATCATCTGCCACATCCTGCACCCATCTTCTCCTTGGCCCTCCTCTTCCTCTCTTCCCAGGCATATACCCCTCCATTATTGTTCTCTCTAGACTTCCATGACGTTTTAAGTGACCAAAATATTTCAATTTTCTTTGTTTTATTGTCTTTACTAGCCAACCCTCTTCAATATTCAGCTCTTGAAGTATGGATGCATTTGTTCTTTTCTTTACCCAAGATATTCTTAGAAACCTGTCTGTAACATTTATATTCAAATGCCTGTCTGTATTTATGCGCTGTTCCGCTTGTTTAGTAAGTGTCCAGGTCTCACAGGCGTATGTTGCAATGGGAAAGATGCATGCTCTCAAAAATCTGACCTTTGTAATTCTATCTGTACAATTCCATAATTTATTCAGTTGTTTTAGTCTTTGAAGAGCAATTGATAGTCGCCGTTTAATTTCTTTCATTGTGTCACCATTGTTGGTAACCAGTGACCCAAGATATTCTACATTTTCCACCACTTCCAATCTTTCCTCATTGACATATATTTCCTTCTCCATGGCAGTTTTGTTTGTATGCATTATCTTTGTTTTTGCTATGTTAAGAAATAAGTTATGATTTTCATTATTTCTTTGGAGTAAGGTTAATAAGTTTTCTAAACCATTTTGTGATGTTGATAGTAATACTGTATCATCAGCATAACGAATTTCTGGTATTTCATGACCACCGATGTTTAGAGCATCATATTGTTCCTTGTTTATATCATCTCTTACATTTCTCATTATATTTTCGGCGTACAGGTTGAACAAATACGGTGACAGCACACATCCCTGACGGACTCCTTGCTTGATGCCAAACCAGTCTGATGTCTCTCCATCTATTCTGACTGCTGCTTGTTGGTCTTGATAGAGCATTTTTAATGAGCTGCACTATATGTGATGGAAAGCCCATATTCCTCATGATTTCCCAAAGCTTCTGATGTTGTACACAGTCAAATGCTTTTGAATAATCCACAAAACATAAGAACAGATTTACATTAAATTCTCTACACTTCTCTATTATTAAACGCATGTTGAAAAATATGATCTCTTGGTTCCTCTTCCTGTCTAAATCCAGCCTGAGCTACATTAATCTCTTCTTCCATTTTCTTATGCAGTCTTCTCATTATAATTTTTAGTAGAATTTTACTTGCATGACTGATCAGGGCAATATTTCGATTGTACTTAATTTCAGGTCACCTTTTTTTGGTATTGGAATGAAGATAGTTCTCTTCCAGTCTTTTGGCCAAATACCATATTTCCATATCTTTTCACATAATGCATGACAACATCAGCAACAAAAAATACATTATCATTACCAACACCAACATTAATAATGTTATTAATACCACTACAAACAACAATAACAGCATTAGAACAATAACAACATTAGTAATATAGCTCAGAAGAAGAATAACAACAAGACAAACATTATTAACAACAACAACATTATTAATACCAGTATCGACATTAATATCAATAGCACAGAGAACAACAACATCAACAACAACATCACTACTAATACCACTAAGAATAACAACAAGCACGCTATTAACCAGTCACCACCCCATCAACAACAACAACGACTTTATGAACACTGTAACCATCCTATCAACAACAGCCAACACGGTCTTAACGCCGTCACTGCCCTGTCAATAACGAAAACAGCAACATTATTAACACTGTCACAATCCCATCAACTACAACAACCACCAATACCGTTACCACCCGATCAACAACAGCCAACACTGTCTTAACGCCGTCACCATCCCATCAACAACAGCCAACACTGTCTTAACGCCGTCACCATCCCATCAACAACAGCCAACACTGTCTTAACGCCGTCACCATCCCATCAACAACAGCCAACACTGTCTTAACGCCGTCACCATCCCATCAACAACAGCCAACACTGTCTTAACGCCGTCACCATCCCATCAACATTACCACCAACCACAACAACGCCTGACACACAAGCAACAACACCGGAATCTGTTACTCACGGTTTGACCTCGTTGCTATCCACGTTGACCCACATGACGTGGACCCAGGGGAACTTGAACCACTCCTTGTATGACTCAGCACCGCAACATTGGTACTCTATCTGTAGCTTATCGACCTTCACTTTGTTACCCATGTCTGACTTGTATGCCTGCACACAACAGATGATCATTCGTTCAACAGTTTAGTTTTAATTTCGTCCCATATATATATATATATATATAAAGACATCATTATAGTCATGTGCACTGCCAACTGGCATAGGCGCTCATGCATCTCCACAGATCACGATCCTTGGTTGCCTGGAACAGCTCTCTTGATGATATCCTTCCATACCACCGTTTAAGTCCATCCAGTATCATCTCCCTTGGTCTGCCTCTTCACTTTTCCACTTATCTTTGCAGTTGTCACGATGTTCTCCACTGTCTCTCTTCTCATTATGTGGCCAAAGTACAGTGTTTGTCTCTTTCTTATTGTTGCATATAGAGATCTACTTTCATTAGCTTCTTTCAAGCAGTCGTTGTTAGTTACTCTGGCCGTCCAAGGTATTCGAAACATTCGTCTCATAAACCAGATCTCTGTTGCTTCCCAATTCTTCTTAATTTGTTCGCTGCCATTCCAAGATTCGCTGTTACATTTTAGCACACTCTGAAATTAAATGAGAGGGATTTTTTGCATACGAAATTTTTAATTTTCTGAAATGCAGCTTTCGCTTGACCTATTCTGCTTTTAATCTCTGCCACACATTTTCCATCTGATGAAAGGATTGTTACAAGATATTTGAATTTATTGACCTATAAAAAGACAGGTCTCATGATATGCGCTGAAATGCGTATTTCCGACATACTGCCAATAGTAATGAGCAGTGATGTCTTTTGAGATCTTTGGCTCTAGGATAATAAACGCGTTAAAAAAATAATCGTCGTTGTTCCTGCGATGAAAGGATTGGTGTGTTGGGGGAGGGCGGGGAGGTGGGGGGAGGGGGGGGGGAGGGGAGGTGGTGGGGGGGGGATGGTGTGGTGGGGGGGGGGGGGGGAGATGGTGTTAGAAAAAAAAGACAGAAAAAAACCCACCTTTTATGGTTCTCGAACAATTATTAGAGATCTGCACATTGGAAGAGATAGGTGGTTGCACCAGGTTATATTGGCAAAGACAGTAGTGAATTTACGTAACCACTGTAGGTATCTGCGTCGGCTTCTGTGGCCCATGCATTTTGAACGCATTTTAGGCCTATTGGGAAAATAGGGAAAGTTGTATATTTTTAAAGATCAATCAGCATTAGATGGGTGATGTGGTTAGCATCACGCCGGCTGCCTTTACTTCCAAGGACTGCACCTGGTACCCTCTCAAGGCTGGGTCGACCAGATAGTCTAGATCAGTTTTAAAACAATTCTAACTCCATCAGGACGCGAACACACGACCTTTCGATCCACAGGCAGGCGTCTAGTCGCCAACGCCAAGGGAAACCTCTAAAGCAAGGTAATTTGCTCCAGTTATTCGAGCTTTATCGTTAGATCTGATTACGATGTATTACCGTTCGGTGTCGACATATTCAAATAAAGTGCGACTAACGACCCTGCATGCTCATTGTGTAGAGCTAAGCAGACGCCCGAGCACGTATTGTCCTCGTGCAGAAAACCCCTGGGTCAGGGAAGGTATACTTGGCGCCACAACGAGGTATTGAAACAGTTAGCAGCCATTGTGGACCAAGCTGGGATGAGGTCCAATGCGAGGGCCAGTCCTACCGTCGTCCCCGTGCGCTTCCTCAAGGCTGGGCATATTTATAAAGGCTCAAGAGGTCTCGTTTTCACTTCTATGTACAATATGATAAAACAGCTGGGCTTGCGAGGAAACGACCGCAAACGATCACTAAAACAACTGGGAGTGGCTGCTGAAAGGGCCTCGAGCTGGTTCTGGACACAACGGAACGTCGTGGGGGACGGGCCTCTGTGAGCTGGTCCGCGAATCTAGTTGAAAAGAAAGTCTTATCCCTTAAAAGTCCATCGTGTCCGAATTGTCTGCCGGTTTCCCTCTGCCATTTGCCAACACAGTCCAACATGTGTCCGATAAACCAACCGTAAGTTTGCCACTTGGTCGTCCAAGTACGCTGACTGCTCTGAAGTAGGTTGGATGTTCATTTGAGCTGCGGGATGCTGCCTAGACCATTGCGAGCCAACATCTCAATATTTTATAACTACTTCAGAGTGCTATCTGGTTTATCAGGGAAACCCTTACCAAGGCACGTGACAACAGCAGTATGTGACACTGTCTTGAGTCTTGACATGTTTTTCAAATGGACGAAAATTGATTAACGAATAATTTATTGACTCAAATAAAACCTACAATGACCAAAAGGGCTTACATATTTTTAACTGTTTTTGTTGGCATTGAAAATTAATAATAATAATATGCACATCCGTACCTGAAGGGTCTCCATTTAACCTCTTTTTTTTTGCACTCTTTATTGCCCATGTTAGGGAGTAGAAGAACAAAACAAAATATAAATCATCACTTTCATCGTCGTCATCATCATCAACTACCAGTTTTGCTAACAAGCATCGTGGAAAGGAACAGTTCGCGGTTCAAGGCTCAACAGGTAGCCCTAGCCATAGTCGTTCAGAATGATTGTAACATTTAGTTCATATAGTCGATCCATGCTCCCAGTCGACCTTCTCTTTCTCTCACACCGTCTCTTTAGTTCCCCTGTCTGGGGTCTGTGACCACAGCTGTTGAGAAAACAGAGGAGATCCACCGTTCCTAAATACACTTTCAACAGAAGGCGCATAGTTTTGTGTTTACTGACACTGAATGTGTTTGGCTGAAAGATGCATGTATTGCATCTAAACTGTAACACACAATAAATCGCAGTAATAGTTTTCCTAAGGTCGAGTGTAGAAGACGAAGCAGAAGGAAACAAAATCGTTCTTGTTCTAGAGCCTGTGATGAAAGCTGTTATAACTGCATTCTAACGACATGACAAAACCATTTGCTCTTCTGACACAAACAATAGAAGCAAACACCGGCCGAATGTGAGAAAGCAACGTAAACTATTACCTTCATCGACTGATATATGCCATCGATTAGTTCTCTCTGATCTATAACAGTCGCACACAAATAATGGAACCCAACACTGACTGATTGTGAGAAGACAAAATAAACCATTACCTTCATCGAATTATAGATGCCATCGTTTAGTGCTCTCTGATCTTAGAGGAGTGAACTGCTATGACAGTCTCACACAAAAAATAGAAAACAACACTGAATGACTGTGAGAAGGCAATATAAACCATTACCTTCATCAACTTATAGATGCTATCGTTTAGTGCTCTCTAATCTTAGAGGAATGAACTGCTATGATAGTCTAACACAAACAATAGAACCCAACATTGAATGACTGTGAGAAGGCAATATAAACCATTACCTTCATTGACTTATAGATGCCATCGTTTAGAGCGTCTCTGATCTTAGAGGAGTGAACGGCTATAACAATCTCACTGATGACAATCAGGAAGAACATAGCGATGACGACGAAAATGAGAGTGACGAATACGTGATGGTTCGGTGACCGTGTCTCTATGTAGGCAGCGTTGTAGCAGAAGTTGACGCAAACAAGATGAACGAAGAACATGATGCATGCGACGACCATCAAGTAGTACGGCAACGATCCAGAGTTGTATCCATCCAGCAGCTCTAGCTTTTCGTCCAGTCTGAACCTGCAAATGTCATGTTATGTCATATTAATCACACCAAGACCGGTAATATGTTTTTGACATGTCTACAGTTCTCCGTGTCGGTATGTCTTTACCAAGTTGTCTTGACATCAAAATTAATCCTTAACTCACTCTCTCTCTCTCTCTCTCTCTCTCTCTCTCTCTCTCTCTCTCTCTCTCTCTCTCTCTCTCTCTCTCTCTTTGTACCACACTAGTACATCACACAAGCGATTAATACAGGGTAACACAAAGTGCCACCATGCGGATGAGGATCACCCGGGGAGCGGTCTCAGAAACAGCTTTCAGCCGTTATTGCCATATTTATGGCCCTGCTATATTCAGGGCCCCAGGCAAAAGCCAGGGTGGGGCTTCAAATAACGAAAAATGTCATCCCATAGGGGGATAATTTATATTTTAATGCTAATCTGTATATCAGCCAACTAACAGGAACGGTCCAGTTTAAACAAAATCCAGGTTGCAAGTGATTTTTATTTTAGCATGACTGATTAAACATTCTAGTCGTGGCGAAAAAAAGTGTCAAAACGCAATCATCTGAACACCTTTGTATGGTCTGTTCCATGTAGTAGACACTGACCCTCTCCAGGATTCCTGTCCAAAGATAAACACCTGGAGATTAAGAAAAAGACAGGAGAGAATCTCAGAAAACCGATTAACCGTCTAGTTTAACAGTAACATGTGGGTACCCGTACGGTTTACACAGAACTCCCAGTGCGAGACGAGGATTGTATCTGCTTCACCTCTCCCAGCTGTTGCTGGATGAGTGGACCAGACGTGGCGTTCAGATAACAATTTTGAGTATCACAGAGCAAGGCACTCACTTGCCCTAGCAGTCTAAAATGTTGACAAAGGCTGAGGACATAGTCTAGTTCCACGTGGATGGTGGAAAACAGGGGAAAAACTACATTATTATCCTGATACAAACCACGGAGAGGAGATTAGTCAAAGCAATGCAAAGATTAACCAGTATGACAGTCTAAAGCACCAGCAAGAAAACCACTGTCACACTTTTGATGGTTTGCAAGTCTAAAGCACCAGCAAGAAAAGTCAAACTTTTGATGGTTTGCATCTTCTGTGTAGCAACATATGGATGTGAGTCATGTACTATCTCGCAGTCACTAAAGAGAAAAAAAAAAGAAGGGGGAGGGGGGAGGCAAATGGGGTTTTGAACATAAATCCTATAGAAAGATTGAAGAATACCAAGGATGGTCTGCTTGGACCATCATACCTCTTCACAATCTGTGATCTTCAACAGAATGTCTCAGTTCTATGATGGCACCACTCCTTGCAATGATAAAAGGCTGTCAAGAATCGTCTCAAAGTGTCTTTCTCTGCTCTTGTTTTCCGCTCTCCCACAGATCTTTGCAGTGGTCACAACATGTTCCAGCTTTATTCTTCTCATAACATGAGTTTAAAATGACGACCGTTTCTTTCTGCCGTATATGATATGTTGTCGTCGAGCTCTCACTTCTTACAATACACATAAATAGCTTTTGATTGTTGTCCAAATAATTTTAAAGATTCTTTTGTAAAAACTATATTTTTGAGACCTGCCAGATGTTGTTCGTTCGGCTTGTCCAGGATTCACTGCCACGTGTTAAAACTGGCTCTTTATAGCATGCCATAAGTTTTTTCTAATCTCCAATGACATGACTTTATTGAATAAAATGTTTTTCTTTCTATAAAATGCGGGTTTAGCATTTTTCGGTTCTTCATTTCCGTTGGATGTTATCCGGATGCCTAGATATTCAAAATGCTGTACTTCTTCTAAACAAAAATGCGTTTAAATTTCATATACATTTAGGCACTGTTCTTTTCTTTGATAATGTCATTACTTGTATTTTTACACTGTTCAAGCTGAGGTCCAGTTTACCCGTGTCTACCACCACCGTATCTATCAAAATTTGTATTTATTTCTGACTTATCGCGATCAAGACAATATCACCAGCATTAATGAATGTGAAAAGATCATCATTGTGTAGCAGGTCCTTCGCAGAACGTCGCTCTCATCACGGTCTTGCGCAAAAGAATCTCGTCTCTCGCCTGCTCTCCCGACTCGTGTACTTTCTTATTCAAGGAGTCACTTACATCCTCTGCCCATCTTCGTGTTGGTCGGCCCCTGCCGCTTATTCCTAGCACCATGCTTTCTTATATTTTCCCCCCAATGACGCTTGATTTGACCAAAATGTTTCAGCTTTCAAGATGTTGTTTATTAGCCAGTCCTCCTTGATGTTCAGATCGTTTAGAATGTCTGTATTTCTTGACTTCTCTTCCTATTGTATTCGGAGAATGTCTATAGAATTTCAATTCAAAAGCGCATATTTTATTTATGACAGACTGGGAAATAGTCCGCATGATGCTACAGGAAAGATGCATGCTCTCAAAATTTTAATTTTGAGTTCCTTGCTGGAGCTTAACCATGCTGAAAAGTTGGTTCACCAATAATAAACTATACAAAAATCAGACCTGATAGCAACAGCCAAGCAAAACAGAGCCAGGCTCATGAAGACTAAAACAACGTTCAGGAAAGTCATCGCAATCCCCATAAAGTATCTCTCCCGCTCACCAACTGTGATAGTGATGCACATGCTTGCGTGTCACTAGACCTTCTGAGCTTTGTACATTGTTGGTGTACCCACGGTCAACTGCTGAAACTCAAACGCACTGACTTCGGCTGTAGCAAAGCCACACATCACCTGTCAGTGCGTTCACTAGAGGTTCATTCTCACACAGGATTGCGTCATTGAGAATTTACATTGTCGTCAATGTTTTAGAACAGTACAAACGAATATAAATGTTGAATTATCATCACGGATAACCACAATAATTTCATATTCAGCCATTTTGATTAGCGAGTGAATTAAAAAGTTTCACCTTAGAAACAGGTCTTCTACAAAAAGAAATACATTTTCTTTTTATTAGTGCTTTTTATAAAACGAAAAACATCTTATGCAATATATCTTTGTCTTTGAAGGTCATAAAAAAAGAATTCTTTTTGCTACAAACATCCAGTTTTAACATATGCTGCGAGTCCTGGACAGACAGTAGGCAGGCCAAACAATTTCCCGGGGCCTCAGAGATATGGTTTTACAGGAGAATGCTAAAAATACCTTGGACAGCCGAACAGAGCAAACAAGAGGTTTTAAAAGAAGCGGGACCTCGAAGACAACTAATCACACACATTAGATGGAGACGGTCATCATTTTTTTGCCATGTTATGAGAAGAGGGAAAATGGAAAATGTGACCACTGGAAAGATCTGTGAAAGGAGGGATAGAGGAAGACAACGAGAAAAGATTTTTGACAGTCTTGCTGCATGGCATGGAGGTGTGTCAACAGACGAACTAATACATGCTGCAGGAGATCGCAGACTGTGGAGTGGCGTTATTGCCCACGCCAGTCAGCAAGGCAATGGTGATGATGATGAGTGCTAAAGTAAACAGCCTCAAAAGGCTATGGTTAAGTCCCAGCAAGGAGATCAAAATTACAATTTAGAGAGCATGCATCTTCCCTGTAGCAGCATACGGATGTGAGTCGTGGACTATCGCCCAGTGCTTAAATAAGAGATAAAGAGCTTTTGAACTGTAATACTATAGATAGATTTTCGGAATATCTTAGACAAAGAAGAGGAGAAATACTGACATCTTGAAAGAACTGAACATCAAGGAAGATTGGCTAATAAACAGCATCCTATTTTCGGAGCTGAAATATTTTGGCCATATCAAGCGCCATGACGGATTGGAAAAACTTATAGCCGAAGACATGGTACCAGGAAGGAGGGGCAGGGGCTGACCGACAAGAAGATGGGCACAAGATACAAGTGACTCCTTGAGTATGAAAGTAAATTAGGCGGGAGAGTGCTGGCGAGAAACCGAGTTTCTTTCATCCAGCAACAGCTCGGAGGGGTGAAACAGATACAATTCTAGTCCCGCACTAAGAATTTTGTGCAACCGTACGGGTAACCCACATATTATTATTAAACTAGACGGTTGAGTGGTTTTCTGATATTCTCTCCTGACTTTTTCTTTATCTCGAGGTGTTTATCTTTGGACAGGAATCCTGCAGAAGGTCAGTGTCTACTACATGGAACAGAACATACAAAAGTGTTTAGATGTTCGCGCTTTGACACATTTTTCGCCACGACTAAAATGTTGGATCAGTCATGTTAGAATAAAAATCACCTTAAAACCGGATTTTTTTTTAAAAACTGAACCGTTCAGGACCTTTTACATGAGCGCTAAAGTTTTGATAGCTAAACAAGAAAACACAACTGTGAGCAGTTATGGGTATAATTTAAACGGAAATTGAAATCCAGGGTCTTAATGTTAGTTTAAACAGCTGCAAAATGGAAGAAATGGTAATTACGACGACAACTTACCCCCCACCCCCCTAATGCAACATAAAAAAATGGGATAAATCTCAAGCAAGTTCATATGTGTAAGTACGTGGGTACACTGATAACATCAGATGGAAGATGCATTAAAGAAGTTACATAGAGAATAGCTTAAGCAACGGCATCATTTTACGAAATGAAGAATATTGTATACAATCTATTTTTTGTCAGTTAGGACGAGAAGCAGAATTTCCTAATTTGATTGGATTTGATTCAAGAACCGACATCACAGCACTCGAGGCATTGCCATAAGCGCTCCGTCCCCATCTTCAGCAGCCAGCAAAGAGTTCCGATACTAATGGTGCCAGTAGCTTTCTGATTAAACTTCCGTCTTGCCTTTCCTCTGAGCCTTGAGCTTCTGCCAAAACCTCTCGTCACCCCTAACTGCATCAATCTCACCAGACTGGTGATCCGTCTGCTCCTCCGAATTGTACACGCTCTCCCACAAGGCACTAACCACTTCTGCCCTATCATGTAGCAGTATTCCACCAAGTTGTGCAGAGCCAGCCAGTCTGTCCGTCTGTTCATTTCCCAACACACCGGAGGGACCCGGTGAAAAAATCCAGACAATACTCCTCACTCGTGTCCTCCCCAGCTAAGCGTGCCACTCTGCAGGAAGCATACCTGTTCTAATCTTCCTCAGCATGCTTTCTGAAACAGTTACAATTACGATGTGTGTGTGTTTCGTGTTCTCTAGCCAGCGGAAAGCTGATGTGACCGCCTCCACCTCTATTCCTAAGCTGAGAGTTGTGGTATCATATGCTAGGCTCTCCTGCACCAAACGTCGAACATTAACTTTTGCTAAAAAGCCCCAAGCACTTCTTTTGCCTCTTGACACTGAACCGTCTGTGTAAATGATCAAATCCTCTGAGCGAGCATTATCTTGAATTAACTGCTGAATTTCCACCTCTGTGGCACCTGCTGGCCAGTCTCTGCATTCCCGGCTCAGCGTGATTATGACTCTACACAAGTCTGACTGCTCAGATGGCACTTTGACCCACTCCTCTCCTCGCCTAATGTTCTCAAGGATGCAAACCTGTCTGATTGTGTCTTCTGCCTAAGCCATCCATGACCTCCCTCTTATCAGCCGCTGACCCTTAACTGCACCCAGAGCTTCATGCAGAGGGTGGTCTGTGTCTGCAGCTACCCTGAGATATGACTTCGCCTGCAGCACCTTGTGCCTATCGGCAAACCAAGGATGTATCGCATACACACCACTGGGGTGTCTCTGGTGCAACCCAGAATGATCCGCATAGCCGCGTTCTGTATGCGCTTTAGTTGTCCATCTGACTCTTTGAGACGGTAAGCATTCCCAGGCCATAATCCACCATTGACAGAATCAGGTGCTGATAGTGTGAAAAGCATTCTCTGCAGAATTCTTAAGGGGTCACTACACCAAAAAAGTTTATTTTTTTTATTTACAGACTTAGAGCAGTTATTTTATGATAGTCATTTGTAGGGATACATTTTATTACATTTGTATACTTTAAGTGTTGAAAAATCATAGTTGTCATGGCAATAGCCGCCATCTTGTAAAAAAACAATGTGTACTTAGAATCCTAAAATTTTAAAAACAAACATAGGTATTCAACAATAAATGATGGATCCATGACCTCTTTTTCCACTTAGAGGTACAGGTCTAGTTTATTTACTTTAAACATGTTTTTAAATATTTTTCGTAGAATTTTAAAATGTAGGTTTATTGAAAAAGTCAAAAAAATCTAGCATCATAAGACAATAATCACATTTTAGAAAACAAAAGCTTTCTCAAATCTACTTTTAGATAGACCAGTCCCTATAATATTGTTTATGGAGTATGCAAACAAAATTTCATGTTCCTATTCTTTATATTAGCTTAGATTTTAGGATGTCACACACACAGCAAACTGAAATATAGAGATTTGAGAAAACTGACTTTTAAACTTTTTTTTAATCCTAAAAAAGTGCACGAGGTGGTGTCATTAGTATTAACTTTTCAATGCTAAATTGTTTACAAATGACATAAATTTTGTGTGTCATCTATTCTACGAATGCCGAAATTTACAAAAAACGAACACATTGAAAAAGTGATATTTTTGTCATAAATTTGGGAAAATGCCGTGTAGTGACCCCGAGCTATATAAATTTTATATTGATATACGAAAGTGAATCATGGACAGTTGTTAAATTGGTGAAAACTAAATTGGAAGCTAAAGAGATGTGGTTTTATTGACGAATTATGAGAATATCACAAAAGTAATCAAAATGTCTTGAAAGAAACTGACTCACAAAGAAAAGTGATAGCCCACATTATGGAAACAATCTACATTCTTTGGTCATGTGATGAGAATTGGTGAACTAGAGTACATTGTAACAACAGAAAAATTAGAGGCAAGGACAGGCAGAAGTGATTGAAAGTACACAAGATTGAAGAATAGACTTTAAGAAAAAGAAAAAGACAGATTAGACGTCGATATTTGGACTTGTTCGGACATTTTTTGATAAGGAATTCACTGGAAACATTGTGGGGACTAGCAGAAGACATGAATCGATTAGAGAACATGGCAAGGGCCTAGAAATTGATGGGAAAAGGGCAGAGATAAATACCTAGATATTTTGCCATATATGCTAAGCAAGATAAGAACACTGACCTGATCGGTGATTTCGGTGTTCGTGTAAGATTGCTAAACATGACCATCTACGCACATGATCATGATGACGATTGCTAGAGATCACAACAACCTTATCTCCCCTTTCCTCCATAGAGCATGGGAGTATGTGAGTGTGAGAACATAGGAGTGTGTATACGTGTGTGTGAGTCTGTACACATGATGTGTGTATGCATTATTCTTTAATTTATATGTCTTTATTATATCCATAACAGCATTATTGATAACAGGTATTGGAACTCTGAAAAAATTAGGGCTTAGAAGGGCAGAATGTCAGACGGGCCTGCGTGCCCAATTTGTAACCCTTTGAAAACAAAGTTTGTTCGTTCGTTGGTTCCATGAGCTTTTCACTTTTTATAAGCAAGAAAGGGACGCGAAAAACCGAGGTGGACCTAATTGACTGACTGACTTTCTACCCCACCAGGACATCACACAAGCGATAAACACCCGATGACACAAAGTGCCACCATGCGGATGAGGATCGCCGTGGAGAGGTCCCAGAAACCGCGTTCAGACATTTGGCCATATGTATGGCCTGCCTATATTGCGGCCCCTGGCAAAAGCCAGAGTAGGGCTTCAAATAACAAAAAATTTCGTCCTAAAAAGGACGAAACTGGATTAATGAAATAAGCTTCCATATAACTGTGGACCTAATTTTAGGTTGAGAGCATAAAAATAAAAACAATATTGTTCTTAATGGTAACGAAATATAATAATAAATTCAAAATAATATAAAATATGTAAACTATTTACACAGATTTGTAAAGAGGGTAGAGCAGTTATGTGTGACCCCTTTACGATGAAGTTCAAAGCTCAACTGACAGCCAGATCGCCAAAACATGTGTACATATCTTCAGTACATCTCACGTTTCGGACCCAGACAGAGAGTAACTTCCCTTCGCATTCATAAATGTCCGTGACGAAGGGCATGTGCTATGTTGCTGGGGTGTCAAGTTTAGTGACCGGCCAACGACACGCAGCATTTTACTAATTGTTGTCACCGGACGGCGATATCGAGTGTTCTGTATTACAGGATGTAAGCACTTCTAAAGGTCTTGTAACATGCAGAACTGGCCCTAACTCCAACCCCCTGCCTCCCACGAGAGAGTCCAGTCTATGTTCACGAAAGAGTGCAGCCTGTGTCCAGATTTGCATGTTTCGGAGTGGGAAGGGAAGTTACTCTCTTTCTGGGCCCAAAAACGTGAGTTGTAATATATGAATATTTTTTTTTCTTATACAAAAGTATGTTATTTTTAAAAACTCTTAAGACAGAAAGCATCCTGGTTTTCAAGCTACTATTGCTTCACAAAGACTAGTTGAAGGAACAGTTGTCTAGGACTCAGATAGTCACATATCAGTACAGCTCTGTTGTCAGAATTACAGAGACACGATTACTTTTCAGATTATCATACTACATGGACAATAGCTATGGTATTTCCACTTGTATGGACACTGCCAAGAAGAAAAACTGTCACAAACCACCATCTTCAAGACGCCAATAGTAATGTTGTCAAACTAAAAAAGTATAAAAGTAATTGATTCATTTTCACAACTTCAGGCGTATTGGGCAGATGGGGTCAAGGCCCCGTGGGAACAAGCAACGGAATCAGCGGAGAAAGAAGATTATTATGGCCTTGGAGAGAATGATGCACCTGGATGTAACCTGAGGGTCTGGCCGGCTTACTACACTCAGAGGAAAGGCAAGAGGACATATAATCAAATTGTGACCGGTACCATCAGTATTGAAACTCTGCGCTGGCTGCTGAAGATGAGGACAGAGCACGCATGGAAATGCCCCGAGTGCTGCGATGTCAATTCTTGACTCAACTTTACTCAACTGGCCAGATAGGGCTAGACTTATTTTTGCAAAGAAATCAGCACTCTTTGGGTGAAGTGGTCAGCATTACGCTAGGCGAGTTTACTTCCCAGAACTTTCCCTACTACCCTTTTAAGCAGGGATCGACCTGGAGGCCAAGGTCATTTTTGAAAACCTCAACTTTCGGAGCCGCAGGCGAGCATCTGGCCACTTCCCCACGGCAGCTACCAACGTCAGCTCCCCATGGCAGCTCCCCACGCAGCTCCCCACGCAGCTCCTCACAGCATCCCCCCCCCCACAGCAGCTCCCCACGCAGCTCCCCACATCAGCTCCCAACTGTGTTGTAATTCTGAGGATGCTGTGAGATTGCGAAACCTGAAACACACGACTGTGAACATAGCTCATGATGATGATTACTTTACACGTGTTACTGTTGCCACAACCTGTTTCACCTTTTCTCTTCTCAAAATGACGACTTTTATGGTGTATTCTTCTGGTGTTTGTGATAAGTTGTTTTCTGGTCTAAATCTTTGTATATCTGTCAAAAACATTTGTATTAGTAATTTTAGTTGTCTTGGAAATTGTAAGCACTTTTCTGAAAAACCATATCTTTGTGGCTTGTAATTTGTAACTATATGGTATGTTAAGTTAAATGAGGGATAGTTCTTAAAAGTGTCGGTATTTATTTTTATTGCAGAAGAAGCAATGACTTTAAAAGATACAGGTACTGCATACCACCAGGGAAATTCCTCAGATGTTATATTTATAAATTCACACAAAGATAGCACATGATCAGCACAATTACCCGCGAGACGCTGATTTGTATATTGAAGGGATAACCTATTGACGTGTTCCAGGAGGCTGCAAAGATGAATGAATGAATGAATGAATCATGAATGGACATCGCGACATTCCCACACGTGCGCCGTCACCTTCTTCAATAGTCACTGAAGAGTTGAAATGCTAATAGTTGAAACAAAGATTAAAAAAAAAAATTACAGATCCCTTTTCACGACTTTAGACACATCAGGCATTTAGGAAAAGCACTCATATTTTTACAGACCAATCGGCACTAAATGGTATTGTGGTCAGCATTTCGCCGGGCGTCTTTACTTCCCCAGGACAGCCATCCTGGTACCTATTTGAGGCTGGGTTTATTTTTTCTTTCGCAACGTGCAATTTAAAAAGCAGACCCCTGTCAAGTGTAACTGCTGTACCTACTCTCTGTATGTTACCTTAAATAGACTTGATGCAAGATAACAACAACTAGGTCTGAAAATCAATAAGGGAAAGACAAAGATAATGAGAATAAATCTGGCAAATAGTAATGTGGTTTCTTTGAATGGTATCCCACTCCAGGACATACATCTATTTGGGCAGTAATTTAGATAAAGATTGGGGGGGGGGGAGGGGGGTGGGGGTGGGGGGGAGAGGTGACAGAGGGAACGACTGGAGACATTGAATACGAATACAAAAAAGCAGGAGGAGCTTTTAAAGGACTAGGGAATTAGTGGACGTCAAAAATCGTTAAAACTTATACTAAACTTAAATTTTTGATTCTAATGTCATATCAAAAGTGGTGTATGTAGCGGACACAACTAAGGCAATTAATACGAACATTCATTAATTGTTGCCTGCGCATTATAGAGGGAATTAATTGGTATGATAGAATCACTAATTTAGAAAATTGGAAGACAACTAAACAAGTTGCAGTGGACCAGAAGGTGAGGAAAAGAGGAAGGCATTGGATAGGACACACGTAGAGAAAACATGAGAACTATGTAACTAGAATGTTTTGCACTGGAATCCCTAGGGGCGTATAAATAAATAAAGACCAAAATATCACATGGAAAAAAAGAGCTACAGAGTGAATTCCAAAAGATGCGAGGGACATGGGGAGAGCCGCATGTGATCGTGAAGGATAGAACGACTTGGCGTGAGTTGGTTGAGGGGCTATGTTCCTCTGAGGGTTAGACTGGCTGAAAAAGAAGAATGTTACTGTCGTTTATTGTGATGGCAGGCAAAAAACATCTCTAATAATTCCAATATTTAAAGAATACCACAATAACGGTGCCTTATCTGGGTTGATGACAGAGCCCGTTACCTCACACAACACACCGACATTATCTACCCCGAACTGTAGTTTTCTAGATATTTATATCATATTGTTCTTCTGTGTGAAAAGTAAGACATCGTCAGTAAAAGTCAAGATTGTCCGCGAAGATAACCCGACACATAACTCAAACATTAAATTCACCCACAAATTTAATCAGTCCTGGACTAGATTTTAACTCCCCCCCCCCCCCCCCCCCTTTCCCTAATCCCCGCAAAAAACAAACTAGCGCTAAATCCAAAACGTACCAGCCTCCCCACTTCCTATGTATTTAAATATCTAAATTTGACGATATCTCTCGGGTTTTTTGCTAAACGATTTCAGTTGTTATTCTAATGAACACGTCTAGCAAAATCTGCGCTTTAAGTAAATATCAATTTCCTCCCGGGACGTAATTTGATATAGAAATTGGTACCATTATGACACTAGACCCACAAAAATGCAATTACTTTTTTTTTTTTGGCTTGCAAGAGAATTACTGAAAAATCATATGCAGTAGGTTAGAAGGACTATGATCATGTCAAATCGTTTGATTAATGGTAGTAGTTATTGACTGCTCTGTTAGCTTTCTTTTGACTTTTAGTTATTATACCTTTATTAGTTAGGTTTTCTAGATTTGCTCAAGTCATTCATCGAAACTACGATGAATACATCGATTTAATATGTTTAATTTTCCTTTAAACCCTCAAATTATTTGCTAGTGATATAGACACTTTCTGTGATGTTAGGTTGATTCGTGTCTTTTTGATATTTACTTCATACTATGGAAAGGAGGAATTCACACCTCTCCCTATAGAATATTACAGCACTATCGTCTGGAAAGAGGGAAAGGGACTAATAGAAAAACACTTGACACGAATGTATTCGGTGCTGTCATAGTGTACTCTCATACGATTAGCTTTTGTATATATATATATATATATATATATATATATATATATATATATATATATATATATATATATATATATATATATATATATATGATAGCGTAAAGAGAAAAAGAGGGAATTACAAGTAGGGAGACGTGAAGAGAAATGCGGTTAGGACAATAAGTAGTTCACCGGTGGACTGCAGAAACTGAAAAAAAAATACAGAAAAGATAATAGTTCGGGTTCATGACACGTATGTGTAGGACAGTTAGGGAAAGTTAAAGGCATACGTAGATCAAACATGCTAGGGCGTATGAGAAATAAAGAAGCGCGTGATATTACAAGCCTGCCATTGGAACAATAGGTAACAACACACAAAGACAACGACTGCTGAAGACAGAGCATCTATGAGTATGCCCGATGTACTTCAATGTCGACAACGATATTAGTAATCAGTTGTGGCCATGCTAATCATTCATTTCATGTGGTTAAACATCGTTATTATTCCTTAATATTTTCATGTCAGATTTTAAATATAAGAACAAAAACATGATTAGCACTGACAGTGACATGTACACCTTTTACATCTTGGTTGTAAACAACATCTCCGGAGAGACCAGTATCGGTGAAGATGGAGTACACCCGTTTACTGCCGAAGACATCTTGTTAAAGAGCATAGACAACTTCCTTAAAATCTACTTTTCTATGCTCTTGATGATTCTGGGAACTGTGTTCAACATTTTATCTGTTGTAGTCTTACAAAGAGCAGCTTTTAAACGAACAGCTACTTCTGTATTCCTTCAGTATTTAGCGGTTATTGATGTGTTAGTCTTGTACAATGGCCTCAGTCGTCAATTCATTGAAGGCGTCTTACATTACAACATTAGGTTCTTAAATGAACATCTCTGTAGGTTTCATGTGTGGACCACCTCGTTCGCTCCCGATATCAGTGTCTGGACATTGGTTGCCGTAACAATTGAACGTTTGATAGCAGTCGCTTGGCCACACAAAGTCAAGATTTTTTGCACGAAGACAGCGGCTAGAGTGACTATGATTGTCATTTGTATTGTGGCTATGTGTTCCAATTTACCGCGGCTTCTCTTCTTCGGCGATAGACAGGTGGGTGTGTTTACCAGTCATTGTGGATGTATGGCTTGTGGCGGTATCTGTAGACACATAATCTGTCATTATCATCACCATGTAAGTTAAGGTCCCAATACACGCCAGTGGCACATCGGGCACATGAGACTAGACCCTCTACAGGTGATGTGGTCAACGTCATGCTAGCCGCCATTAATTCCTAGAACTTTACTTGGCAACCATTTTAAGATGTCACCATATACAGTGTAGGTGCGCGTAGGCGGTCGGTCATGTGTCAAGGCCCGCCACTATAATCAAAATCACTTCTAAGATCGGGGCCAATGGCTGGCCCAACCCATATGGCTAGGAGCAACAGTTATTGTTCTCTTTGCCTTTTCTTTGTTGTATATCTATGAATATTGCCAGCTGGCTCATGCTTTCAAGTCCATTTTCTTCTCCCAACATGCCCACACACACACAAAAACAAACACACACACAAAAACACACATACAAACACACACACACAAGCACACACACACAAACACACACACACACACACACACAAACGCACACACAAACACACACTCAAAACCCCAGCCTATCTATGTGTACTGTTTCGACTCAGTTTACGAACTGTATCAGTCTTTGATGACCTCATCAGTTGTGTTTCTAGCTTCCACATTATTTGCATTCTTCAAATTTCAGCAAAACCCTCATTAGTCTCCTGTAACAACATACTTGTTATGGAGCAATATATCCGTTTGCTCTTCATCCTAAAATGGCCATCTAGAACCTACGCAATGATAAAGAACATACTAGTTTTAAGTGTGAGTATGGCTTGTTCACAGCAACGTCTTTATCGACCGTGCAGTCAGACAAAGGCTGAAATATAGTTACTTTTTGTTCTTTAAAGTACAGTTGTCACTGCATCATTCTGTTTGTTTCTATATAGGAGGTTGTTTTCTAAGATGCGCAGAGTAATATATTTAGAATAATATCTTTAACTAGATTTGATTTTGATTTGATATGATTCAAGAACCGACATCACGGCATTCGGGGCATTCCCATAAGCGCTCCGCCCCCATACAATCACGATGTGTGTGTGTCGTGTTCTCTAGCCAGCGGAAAGCTGCAGTGACCGCCTCCACCTCCATCCTTAAGCTGGATGTTGTGGTATCATATGCTAGGCTTTCCTGTACCAAACGTCGACCAATAACTTTTGCTAAGAAGCCTCAAGCTCTTCTTTTGCCTCTTGACACTGAATCGTCTGTGTAAATGATCAAATCCTCTGAGCGAGCATTATTTTGAATTAATTGCTGAATTTCCACCCTTGTGGCACCTGCTGGCCAGTCTCTGCATTCCCGGCTCAGCGTGATTATAACTCTACGCAGGTCTGACTGTTCAGGTGGCACTTTGACCCACTCCTCTCCTCGCCTAATGTTCTCAAGGATGCAAACTTGTCTGATTGTGTCTTCTGCCTAAGCCATCTATGACCTCCCTCTTATCAGCTGCTGACCCTTAACTGCCCCCATAATTTCATGCAGAGGGTGGTCTGTGTCTGCAGCTACCCTAAGATATGACTTCGCCTGCAGCACCTTGTGCCTACCTGCAACAGCCGGCAAACCAGAATGACACGCATAACCGTATAGTTGTCCATCTGACTCTTTGAAACGGTAAGCAGTCCCAGGCCATAATATACCACTGACAGGATCAGGTGCTGATAGAGTGTGAAAAGCATTCTCTGCTCTAAGTCAATTGTAGCTATAGTCTTAAGTGCACTAAGTCCTTTTTGGCATCTCGTCACAACACTCTCCACATTGTCCTTAAAATGACAGGCTCCTGTCAAATGTAATTCCCAGATACATCAGTTTGCTCTCTCTGTTGACGTTTCTACCATCTATCGTGAGACTTGGCACATTAGCTTTAACTTTATCTTTAACTAAAAAAAAGGTTAACAGCCAAATAAAACTTGGTATCTATTTAAAAAACTATTATTTATTGTTTCTTTATTATTTGACAGGGCGAACAATCAACCATCTGTTTATATTTGCAGGAAATAAACGAGACAAGAAACATCACCGTCATTAGCAAATGTATTATTCTTCAACAAACCGTGTTCTTTGTTGAAGTGTGGTACTGGATCGACAACACAAAATTTCTCATAGTGCCCAGTGCTATACTCCTGTCCTGCAGTACTGGCATCATATGTCTAGTCATTAGAAGTCGACAGCGAGTCAACAGGAGGCACGTTAAACACTTAGGGAATGATGAAGAGAAGCACACAGCTACTAGTTGTAGTGTGGATACAGCAGTTTCTATACCTACACAAACAGGCAAGTTCCTACAACACGGCAGTATGCATCCCGAAAAGAACAAACATGCTGTGACAATTGCAAGGAGGGACATTTCTGTAGCTATCACACTGGTTGTGGTCAACACTGTGTTCCTGGTTTCGAACCTGCCTGTGAATGTTTACTTCTTAGGGCACCTCGACCTGTTTCACTGCGACGATTGCCCGGCCCAACGTCTGATGTTTACCTTGGTCCTAATGACCATGTATACCAGCAACGCTACCAACTTCCTCTTGTACTGCGCCACGGGGTCAAGGTTCAGAGCCGAACTCTGCCTCATGTTTGCGTCCCTGTTTAAGATAAAAGACATCTGATTAAATGATGAAAAAGAAAATCCGGAGCTAGCTTTCAAGAGGCAGATAGTGAGACTATTAGGAGGACATCGTCAAGAGATGAACGAACAATAGTCTCAGAGATTTTAAGTGCTGGACAAATGACAGAGCGCAACAAGAGACAAATGTAAACTAACTCTATTCGATATGTGGTTTTAATATCAGAACTGGATTTGAGCATAAGCTAAACAATCTACAACTTAGGACCACACATTTTCGGGAGCCTAAACAAAAAAATCATTTCACTTGGCGTGTTCACGAACGCAATTTCCTTTTAGTAGCGCACTTAAGACGATGATATAATTTATGAGATTTTGAAGATTCAATATTTATTATTTGTTTTACTAAAAATAAGACGACAATATATTTCCGTATTGTTCACACTTTTAAAAGTATATCTTTTAAGTTTTCTGAGATTAGCTCATATAATTTAAAACAGCAGGGGCCTCATTGTTACATTTAGCTTAGGACCTCATCCTGTCTAAAGCCAACTCTAACTAACACAATCTACTGGACTAACAACTATGTGGCATCAACCACATGTATCTGTTGTAAGCAACAGCATTGTACTGTTCAGTCATTGATGCTTCTTTCCTAACAGAACCGAGTTCAGCGAATTATCTTTACTACCAACAATCATCTACAATTTTATACCACGACTTAAAAAAGCGTGGGTCGCTCACTACTGTATATACATAATCTATATATATAAAAATCAATGTTTGTGTGTTTGTTTCACCCCTATAGACTCGGAAACTACTGAACCGATTTAGCTGAAATTTTCAGGATATGTTTGTTGTGATACCGGATTTTGAACTGTCGTGGTTTGAAATTCAACCTGTCACTGTTAGAGATAGGTGACCACAATTTATGCAATAATATACGCAACTAATATTTATAACTTTAGTGATTTCTAATTATAGCCACGTTAGTAATTGGGCATGCGCCGCCGTAGTCAGAACGCAAGGCTTCCGCCATTCGCCGGCGAGTTACGTGCAGCCAACGCCTTCTCTAATACATAGAGTAGGTCTAGGTACAGCAAACAAGACTATCTCTATATTTGCCACAATAACCATATTAAACACGATTTCTATTTTCTGCTTTTTTTTTTCAAACAACCTTCGATGGGGGGAGGGGGGGGGGGGAATCAAGGACTATCTCGACGTCGGCGCAGACATTGACTGCGACATTAACTTCATTAACCGTGTTAGACACGTGCGATTTCTATTGTTGTGCCGTTTCATTAATATATCTGGAGTATCTGTCTACAAGAAAACAATTGCCTGCGGTTTTGAATTGTGTTTTAATAACGACACAGAAGTAGGGACACACATCTCTAATTGTTAAGTTCTCTTTTCCTTTGTCAAATTAAGTGGCTGCTTGGTCGAATGGTTAGAACACTGGGTTCCTGTGCGGGAGACCTGGGTTCGAATCCGCTGTAGTTAATTTTTTTTTACCCCGGACTAAAATAATATCCTCATCTGCTCTGTCGTGGTGACAGCACTAGCCATGTTGCCTTAAAAAAAAAAAGACAAGTAAATGGGTAAACCATTTGATAATTAAATTTGACCATTTCGCATACTTATGATTGCATTATTAAACTTTCCGATTGCATGGTTACGCTGAAATTTTTATAGATTTTCATTTATTTTCATTTAGATTTAGTTATTTCATCTGCGTTGGAATTTTAAGCTGTGCTGTTTACCATGGCGTTCATTTCCTAATTATGGTGTTTTTTTTTTTTTTTTTTGTTGTTGTTGTTGCTGTGTTCATTTGCTTTCCAAGTGTTTTTTTGTTCTCCCAACTACTTCAATGAGGGAAAGAGTTGTCGGTGAATTGGGGGGGGGGGGGGGGGGGGGGCAAACTATTTACTGAGAGAGCTTTAAGTCACAGTAACTGCTTTTTACCCACTTAAAGTAGCAGCAGTAGTAATAGTTTGTGGTTGGGCTGTTACACCATAGTGCTCTCATGTGAAGACCGCCGGTAAGGTTATGGCGTTCTTCTGTCGGCAAGTGAAATTATACATCCTAACCTGACCAGTCTGAGGCGACAGCACTAGCCATGCGGAGCCAAATCTTCTGGCTCACGACTCTCTGTCTACTCCGATAGTAACACAGATAGCAGTGACATTATTTTAGTAGTTGTACTGGTACTTGAAGGATGATGTGGTAAATATTACACTAGCCCCATTCACTACCTATTACAATTCCTGCTCCCCATTTTAGTCCAGATGGACAGGGATGTCAATGTCAGTTACAGCAACAACAAAAAAATATCGCCAGGTAATGATTTTCAAATATTTCGAAGAGGGAGAAAGCAGTAGTCGGTGGAAGAGGGGAGGGGGGATTTACTTAAATTTGATAAGGGGGAGGGTAGTAGGTGGATTTAGTTGGGGGTGGGGGGTGGTGAGGTGGGGATCAAAGACTATCTCTATATCTGAGCAGACAATGATTGTATTAGACACGTGCGATTTCTATTTTCTTTCATTTCCATTTAGCCAAACCATGCCACAGCAACGCGTGGCTGGGTACAGCTAGTACTTAATAAAATGTATAATGACACTGCCCTGTAAAGGTTGATTCAGAGTGTATAATTTGTTATGCCACATCTTTGTCTACGCTCATTTATATACTATTTGTGTGTTTCTTAACTTTATGTTTCACCTGCTTCAAGCATGCTGCTTGGACTTTCTTCACTCCAATAACGTCTAGTCATTCACCTGTGAAATGCAATTTCGTTATCTGAAGCCCCGCTCTGACTATTGCCAGGGGCCGCAATATAGCTCGACCATAAATATTATAGTCAAATGGCTGAACGCGGTTTCTGGGACCGCTCCACGGGTGATCCTCATCCACGTGGTGGCACTTTGTGTCATCGGGTGTTTATCGCTTGTGTGACGTCCTGATGGGGTAAAAAAAATTAGATAAATAGATTCACTCCAGTTATGTCTAGATCCTTGACCCCGGATAGGTTGATGACATTTGGAAATGTGTTGGCTGATCGAAAAAGCTCTGCGATGACAACACTTCCTGTCTTTCTTTCTCTCTTTCTCACTTGTTCTATTTCTCTCAATGTATCATCAAAATCAGACGCATTTGGAGGCTAAAGCATGTGGGGGCTAAGCTCCTATCTTAAAATACGGATGTGTGTGTATGTGTGTGTATGTGTGTGTATATATAGTATGTATATATATATATGTGTATGCGTGCGTGTGCGCGCGTGTGTGTGCGTGTGTGTGTGATGCCAGAGGCATTTGGAGGCTAGCGACATTTAGGGGCTAGGGGTATGTGAGGACTAGAGGTATGTGGGGGCTAGGGGTATGTGACTGCTAGGGGTAGGTGAGGGCTAGGGGTATGTGGGGGCTAGGGGTATATAAGGGCTAGGGGTATGTGGGGGCTAGGGGTATGTGGGGGCTAGGGGTATGTAGGCGCTAGGGGTATGTGGGGGCTAGGGGTATGTGGGGGCTAGGGGTATGTGAGGGCTAGGGGTATGTGGGGGGCTAGGGGTATGTGGGGGCTAGGGATATGTGGGGGCTAGGGGTATGTGGGGCTAGGGGTATGTGAGGGCTAGGGGTATGTGGGAGCTAGGGGTATGTGAGGGCTAGGGGAATGTAGGGGCTAGGGTATGGGGGAGCTAGGAGTATGTGGGGGCTAGGGGTAAATGAGGGCTAGGGGTATGTGGGGGCTAGGGGTATGTGAGGGCTAAGGGAATGTGGGGGCTAGGGGTATGGGAGGGCTAGGGGAATGTGGGGGCTAGGGGTATGTGGGGGGCTAGGGGTATGTGGGGGCTAGGGGTATGTGGGGGCTAAGGGTAAATAAGGACTAGGGGTATGTGGGGGCTAGGGGTATGTGGGGGCTAGGGGTGTGTGGGAGCTAGGGGTATGTGGGGGCAAGGCTATGTTGAGGCTAAACCCTCATTCTTAAATATGAGTGTATGTGGGTGTGTGTATGCGTGTGTGTGTGTGTGTGTGTGTGTGTGTGTGTGTGCGCGCGCGCGCGTTTTCAGCAGTGCCTCTACTGCTGTCCTCTGAGAATATTAGCTGATGATATCCCGTTCCCTCTCATAGTGGGACTGTCATACCACTATCCTCAAGTCTTTTTCTGGAACCTCAAGACCAGGAAACTGAACACGCACAGACCCCAGTCATTAACACACTCAAAGTCCATCGGTTTGCATCTTTTACTAGATTTGCTGCATTTTTAGGTTAATTGTTTCCAAAGGAAGACTATATATTAATTTCCTGTAATATCTTTGTAGTCGCATCTTACGACATGCATAGTATGTTTCAGTGTCTGTTATTTTTGTTGCTTTCTAATGGGTGTCTGCAGCAATAATACTTAAGCAAATGTATATTACTTTTCAAGACAGGAGAATAAATGTTAGTGACATCCTGTTAATGAAGGGAGGCAATCACTTTACGTAAAATAGATTGAGAAAACATGACAAGGATTATTTCTCCTACATTTTCATTTTTCGTTAGATTAACTCATTCATGACATGCCAGTACTTTAATTCACTCTACCATGAAACACTCTTGTTAAAACTAGACAATTGTCTGCAGTTTTTGAAAGCCTAAACAAATTATCAATTATATAAAGTTCTACAAGTATGGAGTCCATAGCTGATCTTCAAAAACAAATAAGTAAACTGTTTAGTTTTGAGACCAAGTTACGTATTTTTAATCATAATAGTAATTTAGTTTTTTATATCTTGTCGTCCCTTTGCGGGATGTAATTTTTCGTTATTTGAAGTCCTACTCTGTTCTTGCCAGGGGCCGCAATACAGCCCGACCATAAATATAGTCTAATGTCTAAATGTGGTTTCTGGGACCTCTCCTCGGGTGATCCTCATTCACATGGTGGCACTTTGTGTCGTCGTGTGTTTATCGCTTGTGTGATGTCCTGGTAGGGTAAAAGAAGATAGATAGATATATAGATTTAGTCTTTACTAAAATTATACAGTCATTCCTCCGTGGAATGAAA